TCTGAGTGGTCCTGGACCTACGTGTCCCCACACCCGAGACAGATCACACGTATCTGAGCCCATCGGTCCATTGATGCCAGCTCCTGTGCTTGCATTTCAGGTGCTCCCCAGCCTCCCCCGTTGTAGGTGGCTGAGTGAAGCCCCAGCAGCGCAGCCCCCTTGTTCCCTAGCAGACACGGGAGCCTGAAAGCGGCACCGTGATGGTTTAAGGAGAACACGGAACATGCAGTGCGGAGGGGGAATGGGCTAGACACCATCCCTGCCCCCTGCCCACTGTCCAAGCGTCCTGGCCACATCTTGCACAGGTCAGCAGTGGGGGGAGGTGGACAAGGCCTGCCTGCCCTCCAGAGCAAGCTGCCCCGCCTGAGCCACCGCCAACGGGAAACAGGCCTTGGGATCAGGGCGGCATGGAGGGAGCAAGAGCCTGGGAGGCCAGAGGAGGACACTCGCTCTGCCTGGGGGGTGGGCACCTCCAGGGCCCCCGTGCCCGGTCTTGCAGGGGTGGCAGGAGCTTCTAGATGGAAAGGGTGAAAGGGCCTCCAGGTGAAGGGACTGGCCCGGGCAAGGGTGGAGAGGGGCAGGGGGGTGCAGGGCGGGGGCACGGAGTGGTCGTGTTGGCATAGGTTTGCCGCCGCAGCGCCTCATCAAGCCTGGCCGTGCCCAGCAGTGGTTGGCTTCGTGGTGGGAGGAGGTGAGGTTGTGAATTGCCCCCCTTCCATCCACCCCATCTCATCCACGGGACTGGGGGCATACCTCATCATTTGCATTTGTTTTGGGCTGAACTGTGTCCCTCAAAATGTGTACATTGGAGCCCTACTCACCAGGACCTCAGACTGTGGCTGCAGTTGCAGCTAGGGTCTTTCAAAGGCGGCTAGAGTAACGGAGCTCTGCGGAATGGCCCGGGTCCAGTCCGCCTAAGGTCCTTGTAAGAAGCGGTGAGGACACAGACACAGAGGACGACCCCATGAGGACACAGGGAGAAGACGGCATCTACGAGCCCTGCCGGCTGCCCTCCTGGAACCCCGTGCCAGGCACTGACAGGTGCGGCGGGCACGGAGGCTGGTGGCTGCCCTCGGTCTTGTGGGAAACAAAAAGAGCAGCTGGAGGTGTCTGTCCCTGGGCCCGGAGCCCTCTGCTTCCTCCTCTCCTCTACCCAGAGGGAATCCCTCCTTTACGTCTCGGCTTGAGGATTCAAAATCGCCAAGTAGCCAGGAAATAACATTGAACACCATCAGCGGATGAAAAGTAAACAGCCTAAGGTCCATGCACATGAAGGAATGTGTGCCCATTTGGGCAGGAAAAGGGAGGACACCCTGGCACACGTCACAACGAGAATAAGCCCCAAAACACCATGCGGGCCCCGTGGTGGGGGAGGTGTGTCTTCCACCCTACCCCTTTGCAGTGGCTTCTAACTTTTCCGGAAGCAAAACCGGGGACTTGGAGGATCAATGCTTTCCCTCTCCCCACTGCTCAGGTCCTGGCCCCGCAGCCAGGAGGAGCATTCCAGTCTTCTCACCTCATCTCCCAGCTGTGTGACCCTGGGCAAGGCACTTCACCTCTCTGAGCCTCCCTTTCTGATCTGTAAGGTGGGGCTGATCAGGGCTGCTCCTAGGATTTCAAGGGCCCCTGGTCTGGTCTCTGAGTGACACAGGCAGACTGGGTCTCTCTTCACTTGCTCTTGGGGACAAGGAAAAGGGTAGGAGGATGGGGGGGGGGCAATATAATTAGAGTGAGTTTGGGGCTGGGAGTCAGCACCACATCTGACAGTCCCTGGCCGGCCAGCTGCAGCCACACCACGGGACCCTGTTCTCTGCCCTCTCTCTGCCCCAGCTCTCTCTCCAGGGGAAGGGGCTAGTGGCGGACTCAGGTACCAGATAGGGCTGGGGGTGCTCTGGGGGACAGGGTCCCAGTGCAGAGGTTTGGGGACTGCCGGTAGGAGCACTTGGGCTGGGCATGGAGCATCCAGGCTGGGCTCTGGAAGAGGCCAATTAGTCAAATGGCCACGGTTGACCATTTGGAAGCAATTAACAGGGTCGTTATTAGCGCATGGCGCACCCCCCACCTGGCTCAGTATGGGAGGGAGAGGGGTGAGGTCGCTATTATGTGGGTGCCTCTGCCCAGCCCCACTCACAAGACTTTGTGGCCTAGACCCCTGCCCCTGCCAGGTAGATGTGGAGGAATCAGGTTGCCCTTCCTTAGCTGGGCCTGAGGGTCCCAGAGTCTCAGGGTGGGGTCTGTGGGGCTTTCTGGGCTAGAAAGCTCGGCAGGATTAGATGAGGAGGCAGAACTCACTAGGTGGGTGAGGAAGGGGCTGGAGGCTGGCCCGGGAGCTGTGGGAAGTGACCTGGAGGTCCATGCGGGTGGGCGGGCATCCCCAGGGTTCCCCATCGGGGCTGGGGCAGCTGGAGCAGGCGGCCTTGGGCTGCAGACAACTTCCCCTGACTGCAGGGTGGACAGCGGATGGAAGGCCCGGGCTGAAGGCTGTCGCCAGCGAGGGGAGAAGAAGGGAAAACCTGGCCCAAAGAGCTTGGCTGCCTCGGAAAAGTCACACTCACCGGAACAGCAGACAGTGAGCCAGGGCCGCCGGGAGGGACCATGGGCAGGGCACCGGCTATCCTGCGGTAACTGTGAATGGCACCCCCTTTCATTCTCAAAGCCAGTGAATTTGCGTAATAAACCGTGGTACCCTGCGGCTGGAGCACGCCCGAGCTGATGCGTGGCCAGAGACTGACTTCGAAGGGGTAATGCCACTCAGTTTCCCGCATTACCTTTGGGGCATCACACACAGCAGAAACCAGCGTCTCAGGAGAAACACTATGAGGCCATGGCCTCATGGCAAGGAAGTGGCGAAGGCTTCCTTCATTCATTCACTCACTCATTCATTCATTCATTCTAGGAGTATTCACCGAGTGGCTAGTGTGTCAGGCACTGCCAAGGAGCTGAGAGCCTCTTGCCCTCCCCCTGAGCTTCCCTCCTATGGGGAGTCACCCTCAGACTCCGGCCCCAGGGAAGCAGCTCCTGCCCTCATCTCGGGTTCTCGGGCACAGGGGAACCGGACGGTGGGCAGGGAGACCAGAGCCCAGGAGTCTCCCTGGGAAGTGCTGGGGGTCTGAGGCATGGAGCAGGAGGGGCAGGTCCACCCAGATTGCCTGGGTCAGATGTTTCTGGCTCCTCCCAGTCTTCCAGAGGGGTTCCTGCCAAGGACAGAGGCGATTGGGGCCTAGACCGGCAGGCTGCTCCTGCTCTCTCTCTCTTCAAATGTTAATATGTCTTCTCTCCTCTCTCTGCCTGACTGTGTCCCTCTCTCTGAATTTCTTGTGTCCCCACCCCCGACTATATCTCCTCTCTTCTTGGCCTGGCATCAGGAGGCAGCAGAGCTAAGGTGTTTAGAGCAGGGACTTCCTTCCAGTGCCCCTTCCATGCCTCTTAGGGAGCCCAGGTGACCACACGCCCCGGCCCAGGCCGGAAACTGAATGGCATCACCCCTGAAAAGGCTCTGGCCATGCCTCAGTGCAGGCCTGCGGTGGACCAGCTCTGCTCTTGCTTCAGTCCTCTGGGGCTTTCCTGGCACTGCCCTGTGACCCCCGTACTACAGTCTCCATCACCGGGGGCCTGAGGCTCCATCAGTTGGGTGGCTGTGTTCCTGGGCTGTTCCAAGACTCTCACAAGCTGGGGCAGTGGCTAGAGAGACCCTGACTGAGACTGAGGTACTCGGGGATGGCTTGGGGTGCCCTTTTTCAGGAGAGTCACCTGGACCCTGTGCACGCTGGAGTGAGCTCAGGAGGACACGCTGCCCCGTGTGTATTGGGCCATGGGGGCTGGGCGTGTTCCAGGGATGTGTGCTCTCTGCAGCAACTCAGGGTGCCCTGCACACGTGCCTGACCCCAATGCCCAATGCAGATGGCAGGGTGGGGAATGTCAGCCCCCCAACTCACCCCAGAGCCCCTGGTCAACTTGGAGCCAAAGCTGTGGCCTAGACCCCTGGGCCCCACAGGGTGTCCTACTCTGGGGTGGGGTCAAGAGGGGTAAAGCCCCTGTGCTGGCCCCTGCTTCCTGCTGGCCCCAGGACCCTCGGGGACAGAGCACTGGGAAGCAAGGGAAGTGGGTGGGGATGTAGCTCTTCTGGATACTTTCTGAAGCCCCTCTTCGCGAGGCCCCCTGAGATACACCCTGACCCCCACACAGGCCAGGGGACCCCCCACATCTGCACTGCTTCAGACCCTCCACGCCAGGACTCCCCTGACACCGCTTCCCGGCCCCTGAGCGGCTCCTCCTCTCATCCCCCACCCGCGGTGGCTGTCACCCTCCCGGGGCTTTTCTCTGGGTGTCCTCTGCAGCTCTCTAGTCCACTTCTCTCTGCTTCCGTCTCCCCGGCCTCCTGTCTTGGCCGATCTCTATCACTCACATTCCCCTGGTCTTTGCCATCCTCTCCTCCTCCGCTTTTCTCTGTCTCTATCTGCATCTTTTTCTAGGGCTCTCTGCCTTCGCCCTCGCTCTCTGTCTTCTATGGCCCTCGCGTCCCTCCTCCCGCCTCCCCAGGCCCCTCTCTGGACCGCCACTGGGACAGGATCCTCGGAGACCCGCCCGACGTGCAAGGACCCCGCCATCCCGGGCGCCAGGTTGGGGTGCGCGACAGGAGATAGCATCTCCCAGCCCGGCCTGCCACGCTGAGGACAGCGCCACGGGTCCTGCAGGAAGCGCTGGGCGCAGACACAAACCCGGGGCTCCCCACGCGTGCCCGCGCCCCAGAGCCTCCCCGCCGCAGCCCTCCGCGGTCCCCTTCATTATGCGCCGCCTTTAATGAGCGTTTGTCAGCTCGACTTCCCCGCAAGTTGTTTTCACGGACATCAGTCATCGGCGGCGGCCCCATTGTGCCTGGGGATTGATGGGGAGCGGGAGGGGGTGACAGGGCCTGGGGCGGCCGCCTCAAGGCCTCGGTCTATAATTTTCGGAGGCATAATTGGTCTGGGGGAGGGGGAGGGGCTGGGAGGGGACCTTTCAGAGCCGGGAGGGCGTTCGGGGGCGTGGGGCGCGCTGCGGAGCGCAGCCGCGGCTAGACGGCGGTGCGCTGTCGACCAGCGTTCGCAGGCGGCGCCCGGCACGAACCCCGAGCCCCGCGGGGCTCCCCACCCGCCGGCCTCCCGCCCCTCCCGCGCCTCCGCCTGGGGACCACGTCGGCTTTGTTGCCGAACCGTCCTTTCTTTCAGAGCTTTGCGCAGCAACGGAAATTTCATTGCTCCTGGGTGGAAATTAAACGGACTCGCGTTCGCTCTCTCCCTCTCCCTTTCTCCCTCTCTCCCTCACTCTCTCTCTCTCCTTCTCTCTCGCCCACCATTTCCCCTTCTTCCCCCACCTTTCCCGCGGAGCCGGAGTCAGCACCGCCAGGCGCGGGAGCTCCTCGCCCCGGCACGGCTGCCGCCCCTTCCATGGGCGCCGCGCTCGCCTGCAGCCGCAGTCTCCGCGGGGCGGGCGCGATGCCACGATGGGCCTGATCTGGCTGCTGCTGCTCAGCCTGCTGGAGCCCGGCTGGCCCTCGGCGGGCCCTGGGGCGCGGTTGCGGCGCGATGCTGGCGGCCGCGGCGGCGTCTACGAGCACCTCGGCGGGGCGCCCCGGCGCCGCAAGCTCTACTGCGCCACGAAGTATCACCTCCAGCTGCACCCGAGCGGCCGCGTCAACGGCAGCCTGGAGAACAGCGCCTACAGTGAGTGCCCGGCGCTGCGGGGCCCCGCGGGGGAAGCGGCGCGGGGAGGGAGAGTTCGGGCCCGGGAGAAGGCGCGGCGCGCCCAAGGTGTCGGGGAAGACCGGCTGCCTCCCTCGGCCAGAAGGCGACTGCTGGGGCGCCCTCTTCGCCCTCCACGTCATCGGGGAGAAGAGCGCGCGCTGGGGTCCGAGCAGAACTCGGGGGGATGGGCGCTCATGTCCGAAGAGGGCGCGGGAGGCCGCTGCCCGGGGTCGGGACCAGCTGTCAGAGTTCGTCTCCAGCCCTGCCCGCTAGTCTGGAGGGACGCGAGCTAGGCAACCCCGGGACTCCATGCTCTGCTGAGTTTGGCAGCTCTGACAAGTTTAAGCCCTTTGAATGTGTCGGAGAAAAGGAGCTAGACAAGGCATTTATCATCGTCTTTATTATTTTGACTACTTCTCCTCCTCCTGCCGACCCCTGGACGCCCCGCCGTCCCCTCAGCCCTCCTCGCTCGCGGCCGCCCAGGTGGCCGCCCCCGCCACTGCCTCTGCGCGGAGGGTTCTAGCCTGGTGGAGCTCGGTTCCCCGGCCGCGGCCGCCGCCGACAGTTATTCCCTGAGCTGGAATCTGCACCATTCCCGCCTCCGCCCTGGCCGCACTGCCACAGGAGGGTGGGGGCCCTCGCCGCCGGGACTAGCGACTGTGGAGCGCGGAGCGGTGTCCGCCCGGGCCTCGGGGCACAGACACACACACTCCCGCCCGAACGTAGGACCTCTGACCGGGCTGCGCTCACCGCGGGAGTCCGCCGGGGTCCACGGTTGGGCTCCTCTGATGGCAGGGACCTGGTGCCCACTCTGAGCCCTGTGAGGATCAGGAGAGCGAAGCTCAGGGCCCGGGAGGGCCGCGTGGGGAGCGTGGGAGGGAGATCAGGGCCACCGCGATCCTCGGGTGCGCCGCGCGGCGCTGGGCTCCGGCCCGGGGCGCAGGAAACTGTGCAGTGCACTCCAGGTGGCGGCGGGAAACCGCGGCTTCCTCCAGGAAAGCCGCAGCCTTGCGAGGGCGTCCTTGGGGGACGCGCCTCCAGGGCCGCACGGTGGGCACCAGCTGTCGTCAGGGGGTCCCAGTGCGCGGAACTCGTCTCACAAAGATACCCGGTTCTTTCCAAAGCCAGACTCCTCCTCGGAGTCGCACAGCATCCAAACTTCTTGGTGCTGGTTGTTCAGGGGCAGGGGAAGGCGCGCGCCCGCAGCTCCGCAGTCCCTGCGTCGAGACTCGGGCTTCGTTGGTCCCCGGGCGGGCACGGCCGAGGCCGCCCAGCCTGCGCACTGGGAAGGCGGGAGGCTCGCAGCCTGCACCCCAGCGCCCTGGGCTGGAGCAAAAGCCCGTTGACCGCGGCCCGGCTGGGACTGCGTGCCAGGAACACGCTCCCAAGAGTCATCCCTTGGAGAGGGTGCAGGCAGTCGCCCCAGTCCCCTCGGAGCCTCTGTGGGGAGACAATGACCCCAACCTGACTTGTGGTGCAGCCCCCCATCCCCAGCCCCACCACAGCACCCGTATATCCAGAAGGAAAGGCGGGAGGCGAGATTTAAACTTTCTTACCCCTGGGGAGTGGGTGAGACCAGCCCAGCTTCCCTCTATGGGTTTCAGGGTCTAAACCGGCTTCCTGCCCCTCCAGGCCCCCTGGCGGGTACAATGATCTTCCACCAGGTCCATCGAGAGCTGGGTGTAGGTGGCAGGCGCCCTGGCTGTGTTGTTGCCAGTGGGTTATTTTATCAGCCTGGTTCATGGGGCCCAGCTCTCCCGCTGGGTGGCACAGGCACTGGGGACCCTGCAGGCCCAGAGCTCAGACTCATATGTCTGCCGCCAGGGCTTGACTTCCCGCTCAGGCACATGTTTGGGGGTCTGGCAGTCACCTGGCCATAGTGGTCCCCACTTGCTTGTCTGTCGGATGATGGAGGCAGCTGGCAAGGTGCTGTGAGGCTGACAGAGCCAGCGGGTGGAAAGGTTCATTTTACTCTTTCCCTCCCAGGTTTGAATGACGCCCTTTGGAGAAGCCTCCCCCGACGTCCCCGACGTCCCCTTCTCTACCTCCTGTCTGGTGACTTCTCCCATCCTGAACCTCCAGTCACTCCCCCACCTGTGGGGTGTGTGCTGCCCTCCCAAGCCCTGAGCCCATGGTGTGGCTTTGGGCAGGGCCAGCTGGGCCTCAGCCAACTCCTCCGTGGCTTTGTGGAGGGCAGCGGGTGTGATGTTCCTCTCACTTCTTCCAGGTATCCTGGAAATAACGGCAGTGGAGGTGGGCATTGTGGCCATCAGGGGGCTCTTCTCTGGGCGGTACCTGGCCATGAACAAGAGGGGTCGGCTCTATGCTTCGGTGAGTCCAGGTTTCCACGTGGGTGGGCGCTGAGGGAATATCAGTCCGGCCTGCACATCATGCCAGGGGATGGGAGATGTGGGCAGAAGAACGCTTTGCCCAGCCCAGGGTATGTGGGACCCGAGCTGGGACCAGACCGTGGCCCGGGACTCCACATGCAGTGATCTTTAGCTGTGTCTGGTAGAAGCTGCTCCTCAAGTGACCTGGAGCCTGGCCCTGGGGTCCTGGGTTCTGCAGAATGCCGGGCTAGCAAAGGTTCCCCACAACCTGATCATCATCACCATCCTTCCCTGAGAGTAGCTGAGAGCAGGGAAGTGATTGTCCCCAAATTTCCACCAAAATAAATGGACCCAAGACCACCCAGGAGTGTTCCTTGAGGCAGCCAGACTGCTCCTGGGAGCGTGGAGAGGAGGGCGCTGGCCCGGCTGAAGCATAGGAGGGGAAGGAAGGTGGGGCCCATGTCCCAGGCACACAGGGGCCTTGGAGCCCGGGTTTGAGGCCCAGTCTATCTACTGCCTGGGCCTCCGTGTAACCAAAAGAGCCTCCTTACTGGGTGGGTATGGCAGTGCCCCTCCCTGTAAGGGGTGGGGGTGGAGAATACAGAGTAAAATACATGTAAGGGGATGTTCTGCCTCCAGCTATTCATTACTCGCAATTTGGCTGATACTTCCTTGGGCAATGAGAGGTTTTCCATCCACTGGTAGCCTGGACGACGCAGCTCGAGGACAATCTCCCTGCAGTGAGCTCTCTGCGCAGCCAGGCTCACGGGGAAACAGCCCGCCTCTCCTCTCGCATAAGCCGAGGATTTCAGCAGATTTTTAGCCGTTTTGCTAAATGAAGGGCCGGAAAGCTGGGACGCAGCCCTTTGCTTTCTTTCTTTCTTTCTTTTTTGTAATATCAAGATCTACTCTACAAAGTGACATTGCCTTTCTCTTTTCTTTTCTTTCTTTTTTTTCCGAGTCAGAGTCTCACACTGTCACCCGGGGTGGAGTGCAATGGCACGATCTCCGCTCACTGCAACCTCTGCCTCCTGGGTTCAAGTGATTCTCCTGCCTCAGCCTCCTGAGTAGCTTGGATTACAGGTGCCCGTCACCATGCCTGGCTAATTTTTCGGCGACTTTTCTGTATTTTTAGTAGAGACAGGGTTTCACTATGTTAGCCAGGCTGGTCTCGAACTCCTGACCTCGTGATCACCCGCCTCGGCCTCCCAAAGTGTTGGGATTACAGGTGTGAGCCATTGTGCCCGGCCCACCCCTTGGCTTTCTCTGGCTCAGAGGCCACTCACTGGAAGCTGTGTCTGAGAGCGGAGGCCCTCCTGGTGCCAGCTTCTTCCATGGGAGGCTCAGGATTTGGGGAGACAGAACAAACATGACGTGAGGGGGTCCCTGTGGTTCAGAGCCCACTTGGGGCTTCCATGTCTGAGAGCTCACAGCCTGGCTTTGGGAAGGGTGGACAGAGGCTCCTAGCCCTACCAGGGAAGCTGAAGCCAGGGTTCGCTGGGCAGTCGAGCTGGAGGGTGTGGAGCTTTCCCGAGTGCCCAGCAGAGAAGTTCCCACAGCTCTGCAGATACCCTGGGAGGCACATAGCCTGGATGCCAACCCTGTCACCTGCTGCCTGGTGCCAGGAACATGCATGCGGCCAGCTTGCCTAAGAGTGCTGTCCCACTGCGGGGCTCCCTGGACTTTGCCAGCAGCATGCCTGCCCTCAGGCCAGCTCATCCTTCTGAGGGCCAGTGACCACCACACCCAACACTCCTGGGTCCAGCTCTGACCTCCCTTCTGAGGTATAAATCACCCTCCCCAAAGTCCTTCTGCCTCGGACACTCCAACCGAGCTCAGCAGTTCCCCAACTCCCCACCTTCATCGTCACCCCACTGGCCACTAACTCTCGCCCAGAGGGGGCTGGAAGGCATGGTCGACCCCACGTCCAGCCCTCAGACCACGTCCCTGCATCTCTCTCTTCAGCCAGTCTATCTGTCAAGCCATCCATCCACCTCTCCCTCCCCTTTCCCTTCCTTCCTACTTACTTACCGCCCTCCCTTCCCCCTCCCTGCCTTTCTTCCTTTATTTGTTCCTTCCTTCCTTCCGTCCTTCCCTCCCTCTTCCTTCATTCCATTCACCCTTCTGCCCATACACCTCTCCTTCCTCCTTCTTTCCTTTCTCTCATCCTTCCTTCCATCCATCCTTCCGTCTATTCTGTCCATCTGCCCATCCGCCCATCAATCTATCCATGCTTCCTTCTTTCCTCCCTTCCACCCACCGCCCCATCCATCTGACATTTGGTGCTTCATTCGCCAGTGTCCCGGACACTTACCATGTGCTGCACTCTGCTTGGTACATGTTAAGAGGACTTGCTAAAAAGCAGATTGGCCCAGGTCATGGCTTCCGAGGACTCCCATCACACACAGGCATCCCCCGGGCACCTTAGCTCCACCACAGAGCAGAGCCCAGGTGCCATCTGCTCCAGGGCCGTCGTCATCCACAGGTCATGGCTCCTCCAGCCTCTGGAAGCTCCCTCGACTCTCCAAGCCATTGTGCTGCTCACCCCACACCCTCACTGCCTGGAACGCCCTCCTCCCAGAAAATGCCCGCTAGGAAGTGCCCGCCCCACCCTATGGCTCTCTTCAGAATTCACCTCCTCAACACAGTGGCTTTGGAGTCCACTTCCTCCCCACCCCCCTAGGGTGGAAACGGCCCTGGGGAAGGGGACTGTGGAACCGGGTCTGGTGGGACGGCAGGGTCAGGACACACATTGGATTGGAAACTGTTGTCACAGCAAGTCCCAACTGCAGTAGCTCTGGGGTCTGTGGCCCTGGCCCCTGAGCCGACACCTGCCCTGGTCATCTAGGCTGCCCCAGGTGGCCACCAACATGGCAGCAGGTGATCTACACTCCCCCCATCTCCCACCTTGGGAGGGCCGGAGTCCCCTGCCACTGGAGGCTCACAGGTCTGTGTCCTTCAGTGTCCTACCCCCCAAGTGGCCCTGCAAAGAGAAAGCTGACCGTGTGGCCTCCCTGGCCCTGGGAGGATGCACCTCCTGCAGGATGGAGGGACCTGGGAGAAGCCTGGGGCCCCCCCTGAGTTTCCCACAGTCTGGTGTGGGAGCCAGACACTAGCATGGTGCACCAGTGTGGGCATGGGGGAAGTCGGCCCTGAGCCCACCTGCTCATTCCCAGGTAGCCCCTGAGCCCCAGGCTGTGCAGGGGTCAGGCACAGGTCAAACACTATTCCATCCCCCTGTGATGTAGGCTCTGGCGCCGCCCCTGGGCCTCAGTTTCTCCATCTATAAGCATGGAGACTGGTCTTGGATTGTGACATCTATACGGTGACCCAGGGGGCTCTGGGCCTCCAGGAGGGCTGGTGAGCAGGGGGGCTTCAGGTTATGGGGAGAGGCAGCCCCTACCACCAGGTCAGGGCTTCCACCCTTCCCTGCCCTGGGCCTTCATGTCGCTGGAAAAGAGGACAGGTGCTTGAAACATCTTGCTCCCTGAGGTCCTGCTGGGTCAGATGCTGTGGGGTCCAGCCTGGGAGCCCCTGGAGGCCATTTCCACTCTCCCTGACTCCCATGGGACATCACACCCCAGATGGAGATAGACCACAAGGGCCTCCAGCTCCTCCCTGGAGCCAGTCCCCAGGAGGAAGGAGAGGTCTGCTGTCCGCCCTGCCCCTGCTGCTTCCACCTCCCACCACCCTTTCTGGTTCGGAGGAAGCAGGTCCTGTCAGTCACCCCCGGGGGAGGTGCCCTAGGCGTTGCCACTTGCCTGTAGCTGGTTCTGAAGCCCAGTGGGTCTGCATATGGCATATCCACCCCTTCCCTACCCCACAGACTAAGAAGACCCCATGAGTCAGCCCCTGAGGGAACCTCCCATGTCCAGGCCTTGGGGACACTGGTGTCAGATCCTTCAGTTCAGAGCTTCACTGTGCCTTTGAGAGGGCAGGATCCCCTCTGCCCTTCCCCAGCCGCACCCCGGGCCTGACAAGGGTCCCAGCAATCGCTGATGACAAAGCAAGTGTCCCCTCTGTCCTCCCCGTGGGGGGACAGCCCCGTGTCTGCTCTCATCCTAAGAATAGCAACATCGTGGCACTGTTAGAGCCTCCGCCTCATGTCAGCCCCGGCCCCCACTCTGTGTTGTAACCTCTTCAACCTGCGGAGTGGGGACCCTCCATCTTAAGAGAATGCTGCTCAGAGATCAATGACCCCAGAGGGGACCCTGAATGCAGTGTTTAATGGAGCATCTGGGCTCATCAAACCTGGCTGTGTCCCCTTCCCTTCCTGCTTTTGGTGTTCTTTCCTCTTCTTCTTCTTCTTTTTTTTTTTTTTTGAGACAGTATT